AAGCGTCGAGGCGGTTGTCCCCGCACGGCGGCTGTCAGTGGGTGCACAGCCACTACTCCTGCCTGGGCTGAACTCCCGATGGTGAGGATGGGGGTGGAGGGTGCTGTGCTTTGGAAAGAGGGAAAGGGAAAAGCACAGAACCTTTAGACGGTCCCTGAGAAGCAGCTCTCCTGGCTTAGAGCACCTCGGAGTGGGCGGCGTGAGCTCTGCACCACCAGCCAGCACTCGCCATGCCTGTGGTACGACCGTCCCACAGCACAGGCCGAGGGGCCCGCATTCCCACCACCCAAACGCGCACCCCTGCTACACTTCTCCCATCCCCAGCCCCTCCTGGCTCCCAGGAGTGGCGCCAGGAAAGCCTCACACCCCCACTGGACTCCACCTGGCCACGGGAGGGATGCACAAATGCTAGTCCATGGCAGGACCGAGTGCTCTGCTCCCCACCTGGCTGCTGAGGTTCAGGGGTGACACCAGCCCTGCTTCCCACCATGGCCTGGCCTTCCTCAACCAACCTCTCGGGCAAGCTGCTGCCAGGAGCCCTACAGCTTGGAGTGGGGGGACTTGTAATCTGGCAAGGTGGGGCCCCTCGTGCTCACAGCTGTTCTGTGGCTTGCACGCCCAGGTGGTCCCCATCCCGGGCTGCTGTTGGCACCTGGCAAGGCCGCCCTCTGTGTGTTCAGCAGCACTCGAGGAGACCTGCTGAGGCGGGACGAGTGGGAAGCGCAGGGTTTAGAAGCAGCCCCCACTGTGACTGTCAGGGAAGGTGTCCTGAACTCAAAGCTGAGGACTGTGGGCCACCTCCAAGTCAACTCCCAGGCCCTCAGAAATGGCAGGATGGTAGATGTGAACGTGACTCAGGAGCCCCGTGGTAAGTTCAAATCCCAGCCCCGCTAGCGTTCCTGAGGTAAGAGCCAGTGCCCTGGGCTCAGACCTCAGCTCTGCTCCTCAGAGGCTCGGTTTCGTCCTCTCTGAAACGGGGACAGCAATATCCAAGAGAGCCACGGTGGGGACTAGGGGAGTTCTGTGGAGAAAGCCCTGGGAACTTTCCGGAGTCGTCTTCTAAGGACTGGCTGCCAGGAGGCTGCTTATTCGAAAGCCACGATTCTGTAGCTTCCTGGCTGTGCCCCACCCAGGTAGGGGACTAGGCCTCTTTCTTCTGGTTGGTCTCCTCTGCCCAACCGTCCCAGAGACCCAGAGCGGAGGGTCTCTGCGCATGAGGCCAGGGGGGCTCCTCCAGCTGGAGCTACGCCCCTTATCTCTCCACAGACCGTGGTCACGCGGGCAGATGCGGGACACCCCCACAGACAGCTGCCATGCGGGTGGAGGGGCAGGGAGAGGCGGGTCTGGCGAGTGTGGGAACATATGCATCCCACGGGGCCCACGTACACTGGGGACACTGATGTGGGAGACTGTGGGCGTACTTTCCAGAGATGACAATGCTTTGTCTTTCTGGCTGACTAGCTGGCCTTAGGGTCTGTCCCACACTACCCAGAAGTAATGAGAGAAGGCGCCCCGTTCTGAATGGAGGCCAGGCTGAGGGTCCCACCACCTGCTCTCCTTGTCAGGCTTCCACCAGGAGTCCTGCTCGGTGCCCCTCAGGTCGGGGTGGGGGACGCTGGACTTGCCCACCGCGCTGCCCGCCTGCACCGTGCCCTCACCTGCCAGCCCAGAGCGGGTCATCCCACCATCCCCGGGAAATGCACTTGCTCACCTGAGGGGCCCTTCAGGGCCGCGCCTGCCTCTGAATGCCCTCTCGAGCCACACCCTGCCTGGCCTGCCCACCGGACCTCAGGGACACCTCCCAAGGGCCCACCTCCACCAGGAGGGAGGGAGCAAGCCAGCACTGATAAGCCCCACTAAACGCCACGCCAGCCAGTGCTGTCTTTACGTCCGTCACGTCTGTATCACTCACCACCACCCTGGAAGACAGCAATTATGTCACTGGGAGGAAACTGAGGCTCGGTGAGTTAAGGGACCCGCCCAAGGTCACCTGCCTATCACATGACAGGACCTGAAGCTACACTGACCTGCCAGCAAAGACTGTAACAGTCACGCCTTCCCACTGTGTGCCTACTGTGGCCAGGCACTCCCCTGGGCACTTCACATCCATTAGCCTCATGGGGACCTCCATGCAACCCTTCGGAGGGTCTTACCCCACCTTATGGGTGAGAAAACTGAGGCTCGGAGGTGAAGTAGCTTACTGACGAAGGCTGTGAAGGGCCCGCCAACTGGCTGGGCCGTGGCACGCAGGTTCTGGCTGAGCAGCGGGCTAGACGCTGCTAGGAGGTGCTTTAGATCAGACTACCGTGCAAACCAGTGCACTGTGAGCTAAGCAGGCTAGCCCGTGGTGCGGGTGGGCCTCACCCAGTGGGCGAAGGCCTTACCAGAAAGAGCCCACACTCGCACCCCTGAGGTGGGGACGGTCTCCGGGCTAGAAACGTGACAACAGCCTCCCTGTGCTCTAGCCTGCGAAATGGTCTGGCCACCCCCACACCCGTGAGCCGATCCCTTAAAATATGTCTCCGTCTAGACGCACACGCGCACACGCTCACTGCTGCTCACCCAAACGTGACGATGAACAAGGAGACACGGGCAATGCTGAGGATGACACCGCGTCATCATCCCAATGTTTGCACTGAGTGTAAACACTCGCCCGGTCGCCCCGAGTGAAGTACTGCTCTCACCATCTTTGATTGTAAGGTTAGCAAACAGACACTATTGACCTTGTCCACATAATTTACGTGAGTGAGCACCCTATCTGGTCTCCTTCCCTGGAAGTATGCTGTTGTCACAACTGTGAGGGTGGCCGAGGGGACAGCAGGGTCTGTTTACTTTGCTGGCAGAGCTGGAGGCAAACAGGCAACCTTTCACTTCCGAAGACAGGGAACTGCCTGCAGGACTCTGGGGCAGCCTCCTTACTTCCGCTGTGCCGTCTGCCTGGGCTGCGGGCTCCTGGGGCAGGCGCTCAGCCACTGAATGGGCTTCACCATGGAACGGGCAGCCCCTGGCCCCGCGCCTGGCCCAGCCTAGATCCTTGCTTAGAGGAGGCGTCAAGGCCAGGAGGAAGAACAGTACCCTCCTTTTTTCTTAGGTGTGATTGGGAAGGATGTCACTGAAGCATAAGGGGATAACAGGAGTAAAGTGTGACAACAGCTGTAGTAGTCCCACCTCCACTGAGCTGGGAGACCCTGGGCAAGTGAGGTCCTTGCATACTGGCCAGACTGCCCTGCTGCCTCCTGGGGATGGGGAGGAGAGCTAGGCCGGTGCTGAGCTTGGTACAGAGGTGCACCGGGAGTTAGCACAGAGCTGTGGGGTCGGGGGTGAGGCCGGTGTGGCCGGCCGGCTGCTCCCAGGCTCCAGGCCCACGTGCATGGGCTGCAGAGGAGACTCGAGGAGCAGGGCGGGGAGCCAGCAGGTGCTGTGGGTCAGGGTCCTCCGCTCAGGTCTCACTGGTGGGCAGGACACAGCCTCCAAGGTGAGGAGGGGAGGCAGCTGGGTCACATGTGTGCGGTGGGAGTCCCAGACCCAGAGGCTGGAGAACACGCCACAGACACACATGTGCATGTCCCAAATCCCAAAACAAGGGAGATGAAGAAGGAACTGCCGTGTGACCACTCCTAACGGGGTTGTGCTTTTTCGTCTGTCTTCCTCTCTCTGGTGCACACACACACATGCCAGCAGAAAAAAAAAAAAAAAAACCAGTGAGGAGACAGACCCTGAGAGAGAGGACACCGGGGAGAGCCGCAGTTCACGGCAGGCCTGGGGTTCCCGAGCTGGCTGTGAGTTCTGAAACCCTACTGTCCTCAAGGCAGGATGAGGCTCTCTCTCCAGGGTCCCTGCCTTTATAATGCCAGAGGGCGTGCACCTAAGGGAGGAGGAGGAGGAGGACGGAGGAGAGAGGGCCGGAGGGGAGGGAGGGTGCATGCTCACCAGAGAGAAGAAAAGAGAGAACGCACCCTCTGTGGGAAACGGTCAAGCCACAAACCCTTCTCCCCCACTTGTCCGTTCTGTCAGGATTTGGGACACACGCACACACATCTGGCATGTTTCTTAAGCCACTGGGTCTGAGACTTGAACCACAGGGTCAGCCATGTGAGATCCGGCTGCCTTAACGACCATGCCATGGAATCGACGATGTGAGTGTTCTCCACATCATGGCAGTAGTGCCAGCTCACCGAGGGAGACACACACGGGGGCGCGGCGCCTCGGCACCAGCCCCGCCTCCTTCGGTGCATACTTTCCTAGCACCTCCTGTGGTATGCGGGGCAGCCTTTTTTTTAAAAAAGAGATTTTGCTATAGGGCACATGCACTCACCAGAGAGACAGAAACAGAAAGTGGGAAATCATCCCCCAGAGGATGGCCACGCTGCTATCCCTTCTCCATTCTCCCCTCGGCATTTTGGGCATGCATGCACACACGCCCAGCTTGAGTTTTAAGCCACCAGGCCCAGGACCTGAACTGCAGTTGCCCAGCGCGCCCCAAAATAACTGTTACACCATCGTCTGGTCCTTTTTTTTTTTTCTTTTTAAAAGGTTTTTGCCATAGGAGCAAAAACTTGCCACAGGGCTCCTGAGTACGTGTGCTCACTAGAGACAGAGAGAAGGAAACTGAGAAATCACCTCCTTGGGAGAATGGCCAAGCTGTAATTCCTTCTCTTCCATTATCTTCTCGGGATTTTGAACATGCATGCACACACACTTGGCACGACTTTCAAGCCACTGGGTCTGGGACTTGAACCATGGCTGGCCATGTGGGAATCTAGTACCTTCACCACCACACCACTGCTGGCCCTGGTACATGAGGCTTTATTTTTTTGAGAGATATTTTTGCTATAGGGCACATGTGTTCACTAGAGAGACAGAGAGACAGAAAGGGAGAATCACCCCCAGGAGGGATGGCCACACCACAATCCCTTCTCCATTCTCCTCTCGGGGTCTTGGGCACGCACGCACACGCACCTGACATGAGGGTTAAGCCACTGGGTCCAGGACTCAAAACTGTGGTCGGCCATGTGGGAGTCCAGCAACATAACCATTACACCATCTGCTGGTCCCTACAAAGCTTTTTAAGTCATGGTCCCCACAATTTGTCACGAACTTATTTATTTAGTAAACACAGAAGTACCTCGTCTTTGTTCTTCTTTTTCTATATTCCTTATTCATGATGGAGCACGCGTGCACATACATGAGACACACAGAGAGAGGACAGAAGAGGGGAGAGAGAGGAGCACCGCCTAGAGTCTGGCCACACAAATCCCCTTCCTCCAGCCACCTCAGCAGACCTTGGGCACGCAGGCGAATGCCTGGCATGTTTCGGGCGGACCGAGCCAGGATGTGGAACTGCCTTTGCTGTGTAGGATCTGACTTCCCTCGAGAGGAGTGTTACCGCAGTCCTCTGGCAACTGCAGAGTACTCTACCACAGGCCCCACCATGTTTACGTAACCAGTGCCCCACAGATGGCGCCGTCAGGGTTTCCGCTCTCACGAGCAGGGCGGCCGGCAGTGTGGGGCTGTAAAGTCGAGCACGCCGAGCCGGTGTTTACACAGACACGTTCCTAGAAGTAGAACTGCGGGGTAAAGGAATGCACACTAAGCCGCCATGCTGCCCCGCTGCCCCGCCACCCTCAGTGGCTGGAGGGCCAGTGCTCACCCATCGGCCAACAAGGACTGCAAGGTCCCTGGTGCCAACCTGACAGGCTAATGACATCCCATCTGAAAATGCCTCTGGCCAGCTGTGGTGACGCAGCAGCAATGCAACATTCTGTGAAGCTGAAGCCACGTGGGAAGGTCACAGGTTCGTGTCCCAAGGTCTCCCTGTACCTGTGATCCTGGCTGGCTGAGGGTGAACTGTGGCATGAGGGCCTGGGATGGGGGGGCCTGTCACTGTCTCTCTCTCAAAGAAAATGTCTTCTCTGATCATTAGTCAGGCTGAACACGGCTCATGTCCTAGCCATCTGTAGCCGCCCTGTGAGCTACCTTGCCAGTTTCCTTTTTTCTCTCTTTGGGGGGAGAGGTTTTTGCTATAGGGCACGTGCACTCACCAGGAAGAGAGACAGACAGAGAGAAACCACCCCCCTGGGGGGGAGGATGGCCATGCCGCAATCCCTTCTCCTCCATCCTCCTCTTGGGATCTTGGGTATGCACGCACACGTGCCCGGCGTGCATTTGAGCCACCGGGTCTGGGACTCGAACCATGGTCGACTACATGGGAGTCCAGTGACATAGCCATTACGCTAACTGCTGGTCCCTGTTTCCATTTTTTTGTTAGGCGGCTTATCTCGTAGAATTTGTGGGGACTTACGACTGTGACACACAGTGATTACATTAAACCGTTCCCCTCCTGTTTCGATTATTGAACAAGAGGCCTATTCATCCCCACTCCATCCGTTTACTGGTAAACAGAACCTATTACCTACCACCTGATATGCAGCTTGGTGTGAGTGGCTGGGCGAGTTCTGCCCCGGACATTTCCCTGTGCCAAGTCCCACCAACAAAGTTGCCTGAGATGCCATCCCCGGCCTGCCCCGCCTGTCTCTGTGTGTGGACAGCAGTGTAACACGGGCACGTGGCACTGGTCCCAACAATGGGTTCAGGAAGCCCTGGGAGAGGACCCTGCTCTGGGGAATTCCATCTGCCTGGGCCCAGGTGCCCAGGGGGCCAAGTGGTGAGGTTGCAGGCCTCGTGGCCTGTTCTCCCCCTCCATTCTCCCTTGGTGTCCTCGTGACATCCCTCGCTAGCTCGTGGTCCTCTGTGACCTCCCTCTGCCCTAGTGCTCCTCGCCTTTCTCAAACTCAGGAGTGTAGGTGAGCTACCACTCCTGCTTAGCAGCCCCTCTCTTGAGAAAGATGGTCTCTGGAGTCCACCAGCCACTCCCACAATTAGGAGAGGGTCACTCTGGGGGTGGGGATACCGTCTCTTTGGCCCCAAAGTCCCTCTAAGCTAACTCTGGTCACTCCCAGGAGAGCACTAATGGAGGGCTCTCCCCTCACCCTAGCCCACCTTGTGCCCCGAGAAAGAAGACTCGCTTTGCAGGTTCAACGCAGTGTGGCTCAAGAATTCAGGCCCCTTTCAGCTGTAGGCCCAGGCGGGAGCCTGCCCCATCTCTGCAGCCCCTGCCCTGCCTGAACTTGGACACCAGCTGTCTTCTGCCCCATGCAGACACCGGGGTCCAGAATCCATGTGGGTGGGCAGGCCTGCTGCTCCTGCGGTGGGCCAGGTCTTCAGCTGGAGCCAGCAGTGCCGTCGGGGTGTCTGTCCTGGCAGCACGTCCTCTCACTACCCTGAGGCCCCTTGGAGGGGAGAGTGAGGATCAGCTGGAGGGGCTGGCCCTGTGGCTCTCAGCTAAGGAGTGAGTCAGGGAAGTCGGAGAGAAACTGGTCGATGGAGTGGGGAGCAGGCAGTGGGAGGGCGTGGCATCAGCTGCAGGGAAGGCCAGGGGCCGAGGGGTGGGTTCTGGGTGCCCTGGCAGGTGGATGTAATGTAACGACAGTGAAGACGACGATGAACGGCACAGGGATGAGAGATAAAGGGCCAACACTGCTGCTGACGGCGGACACAGGGAGGACCAAGTGAGACGAGAGAAGCCAGACGTGAGGCTGGATAAAAGCAGTATTAGTTACAGCCGTTCGTTCTAACTGCCTGCGCGTATGCCTAACTACACTGGAGCTTAATGACGATGCACGTGGCTAGCGGCAGAGCGAGCGAGCTGTGTGCGACCGACCCTAACAGTGGCAGGTACACCGTTCTTCCAGTGGCGGTCCATGCAGGTTGTCCCAGCTGCCTGGTGCAGTGGTGGGGATGACGAGGAGGATGATGACAATGACAACACAGATCACAGATGCCCACTCACGCAGCTCCATCTCCCACCCCATCGGTCTTACAGAGAGAAGTGGCGTGACCAGCCCGAGGGTCCAGCAGGTAAGCAGCAGTGCAGAGGTGTGACCCCAGATCCCGGCCACGCTGCACCCCATGTGATGCTGTTGGCAGAGGGTCGGGACCCCCCTCACCTGTGTAGCTGCTGGAGGGAAGTGGGTGCTCTGGTCCCCCGTTGAGCTCTGGGGATCCTTCAGCCTCGGCCACTTCCTCCTTCTCCTCCTCTTCCCGGACCTCAGGGGTCTCCTCCTGTGGCTGCTCCATGGCTGATCTCCCCTCGGCACCACGCCTGCAGGCCCGGTCATAGCTCTGGCATCATCTGGGTCTGGGCGCAGACGGACCTCTACAGGGCAGAGCCCGTCGGCCTGGGCGGAGAGGAAGGTGGGAGGGTGGGCAGTGACCGGGGGGGCAGTTCTGCGCTCTCCTCCCACAGTTCGGTCCCTGTGCTTCTAGCCCACGGTCCCCCCTCCTCGCACAAGTCACCTGCCCTCTCGCCCTTGCCCACCTGGCTCCTGTGGCAGGTTTGTGGGGTTCAGGACAGTCTGTATTAACCACTGTGCCCCCTTTCCTCGTTTCCTCTCCTACATCCTGCCCTGAGTCTCCAGGAGGCACGACGGAATGACTCCGAGCCGACTGCACCTCACTTCCCAGCTGGCACTCAGGCCCGAATGTCCCCCAGCACCGCTCTTAGTGCTCAGGTGTAGGAAGGCAGAAGCCCCTGCTCGGCTTGGCTCACTGAGCTGGCAGACCTGCGACGAGACCCTCAGCAGCAGAGCCGTCAGGCAAGTGAGACGCGCTCTGTCCCGGGATCTTTCCAAGGCCGTCCGACTCTCACCAAGTATCATCCCCAAATACCACAGTGGGGGTGGTGAGAGCACAGGCTACTGTGGGAGAGCGCCCCCACAGGGGAGAGGAGGGC